AACCATCGACATTTTGCACACACATTCACAATTCCCCGTGGTTTCGATATTAGGAGCACCCTCAGGGACTAATATCGTTTCTCACAACCTTAATCCTTGACACGTCGTCAAGCCGGTTCCATCTTCGATCAAATCTTCGACACGTCGTCGAGCTACTTCAAACCAACTTCCTTTGGCCTCGCATGCCATTCTTCGATTCGATCCTTTCACACATTTTTTAAACTTATGAAAGAGGGATATTCTTAGAATCTAGCATTCTTTGAATATTCGAACGAGTAACTCTCGGGCGCGCCCCCGAGTTGTTATTAGTTCATTCTTTCATTTTCAAAATATTCAACTCTTATCTTCAACTCATTCAACTCAATCTCCGAAAGAACTGAGTTCTTGGGATCTCGCATTCCTTGAATTCTTGAGTGACAAGCTCTTGAGGCACGCCCTTAAGTTGTTTGTCAGTCACTCTTTCGTCTCCCAACTCGACTTCAACCCATTTCAAACCTCATCTTTTCGTGGTCGTCTCCACGAACTACGGACGCTCTGATTCTTTATTCATTCTTGAATATAAGATACGTAGGCACAAGATTGCGATGATCTTGGCGAGCACACTTCTATCCATCTTCCGTTTTCCCCCATCCCTTCCCGTAGTCGAACTACGACGCTCTGATTTCTCATTCTCGTCCGAATGAGCATACGTAGGCACAAGGGCCCCAATCCTTGGCGAGCACCCTATCCTCTAACCACCCATCTCCCCTTAGCGTCTCTAACCTTTTACCCTACCAATTCTACCTTTAGCAACGAGAAGAAAACAAGTAAACCTTAGACAACACTCCCCACAATTACCTTAAGAGGTTCCCGTCGAGTACGACGGACGTGAGGGGTGCTAATACCTTCCCCTCACGTAACCGACTCCCGAACCCGGAACTTGGTTGCGACAACCCTGTTCCTATCCTTTCTTTTTAAGAGGTTTTCTCGATATTTTCCTCTCCCATTTATTTCGGGAAAAATAAAGTTCGGTGGCGACTCTGTCGAACCGCAATTTCCGCGCCTTTCGCGCGAGGGTCGTATGTTCGAAATGTCTCCGTGATTTTTCGAGGTGCGACAGGGTGACCACGGCTCCCCTTCTCGTGTAATATTTCATCTTCAGGTGGGCGGTGGAGGGTACCGCGGTGAGTTCTGCTATCGTCGTCCTGCCCAGGATGCAGTTATATAGGGACGGGCATTTGATGACTAAGAAGCGGACGCTGATGTCTCTGGCCGTTTCCTCTTCCCCAAAGGTGACTTTCAGTTCCACGTATCCCCAGGGTCTTGTCGTCGTCCCGTTGAACCCCTGGAGATCGGAGCCTATGTAGGGGGAGAGGTTGGATTCGTTGAGCTGGAGAGTTGTGAACAAATGTGAGTACATTATGTCAACCGAGCTCCCACCGTCGACGAGGAGGCGCCTGACGTCGAAGTTTGCCATTCGTGCACGTACGAGCAAGGGTATGTTGGAATTGGGAGATCCCCCGGGTAGTTCTTCGAGGTAGAACGTGATCGGGTTGGAGCGGCCTCGGAATCTGTCGAGCGTGCTCATCTTGCCGGAGTTGCCCGCGATGAGTTCGTCGAATTTCCGTTTCACAGATCCTACGGACAGACTCCTCGTAGCTCCATCAGAGATGACCATGGCTCTGGGGAAGTATTCCCATCGGCTGGTCGGTCGGATTGGCTCGTCGGCTAGGCTGGGTCCTTCGGGGATGCTGAATCCTCTGCTCGCGAACCAATCCTCGGGGCGGCTGACGCACAGCGCGACCTGGAGTCTCTTGCCGTCCTCTGGGGAGGGGAGTTCCTCGATTTTCTTAGCCTCCGGAGCCTCCGATCTGGGTGGTTCACCTCCTCGGGTGTATCGCTTTAGGTGTCCGTCTTTGATTAGGATTTCGATCGCGTCTTTGAGATGAATGCAGTCTTCCGTTACATGCCCGTGGGTCCTGTGGAACCGGCAGTACTTTGACTTGTCCACGTTGGGTTTGGGCGGCGTTGGTCGTGGAAAACGGACACCTCCCTGCACAAACTCGGTTTTAGCGCATTCGGCCAGTATGCGTTCGCGTGAAGCGACCAAGGCGGTGTATTCGGTGAACCTTCCTGCCGGGCCGCGTGGCTCGCGCTGTTCGCGGGGTTCGCGGTGGCGGTCATCCCGACGGCGGTCCCCTCCTCGTCGGTGGCTCGAAGCTCCGTCGTCTCGGTGCCCGCGGGGGGCTTCTCTGTCTCGGGTGTCGCGAGCGGAGTTGGCCGCTTGTGTTTCCTCGAACCGGATGTAATGTGCGGCCCTGTCGAGGAAGTCTTGGAGGGACGTGGGCCGGTGTATGCCTACGGCCTCGTAGAATTTGGAGTCATGGCGCAGGCCTTGTTCCATTAAGTAGCATTTCATTTCGTCGGAAGTCGTCACCTGTACGGCTTCCCGAGTAAACCTTTTGATGTATTTCCGGAGAGGTTCGTCGGGGCCTTGGATGATCGCCCCGAGGACTGCTTCCGTCTTCGGGTGACGACGGGACGCCGTGAAGTGCTTGGAGAACAGGTCCTTCAAGACCCTCCACGACGTAACTGATTCGGGCTCCAGACTTTTGTACCAGGTCATAGCGCCTTTCCTCAGAGTCGTCGGGAAGAGTCTGCATTTAATAGCTCCCCGGACATTTCGGTAGTCGAGCATAGCCTCGATATCTTCCAGATGATCGTCCGGGTCGGAGGTGCCGTCGTACGTTGACAGCGTCGGTGGTTTCTCCATTCCTTGGGGTATGGGGGCTGCCATGATCTCCTGGGATAGTGGGGTGCGGTAGTCATCCTCGTCGCTGTGCGCCGGGGATCTCAGGGGAGATGAGCCGTTCGCAGTGTGTCCCGGGTTTCGGGTCCTTGATCTTCGGCCTGGGTTCCCGCCTCGGGGTTCCTCGGTTGAGATTGCCGCGGCGTTCTGGTTCCTCCCGCGACCGTGCCTCGCCGGGGATCTGGTGCGCTCCCGTGTCGCTTGCGGGCGGTGTCTCTCCAGTCGTGGTCGGCGGTTCCTGAGTCGAGGTGAGGGGCTCCTCGAACCTCCGTTCTGGTCTTCCCGCTGGGGGTACCTCGGGGAGCCGCCGCGTTCCAATGCTCCAATTCTAGCGTTCTGTTGGGACAGCAGCTGGTTCGTCTGGTTGATGGCTGCAAAGAGAGCGGCTACCGTTGGGTCTGCTCCCGCCGGGATGGGAACGGGGTGGAATGCTGGCGGGCTCGGGGGGCGATGGTCGGCCTGTAGGGGCCGTTCCTCGGATGATGGTGAAGCAGTTCGCCCGTCCCTTTCGTCGGCTTCCGTCAGGCGTGCCGTTCCTATCTGCTTCCCGTTGGTGGCGGTGTTGAGCGCAAGCTCGTGTGGAGTGTCATCGCGGCGTGGGCTGGCCATGACCGTGGAGGTTTGGTGAAACTTTTGGTTTTTCTGCTCGGAGTAACGGGGAAGTTTCAATTCCCACAGACGGCGCCACTGATCTGACCTGATCAGGAGGGATCACGGACTGGCCACACTCCGCTGGACGGTTATCTGTTCGCCGGGGTGAGAAAGAGGAGGGGGGTGTACCTGCAAAGCACTCCGACGCCCAAGTAAGAAGTTGGACAGAGAGGAAGCAATAGTACAGAAAAGGGGCAAGAAGAGTTACCTGACCCTCTTGAAGAAGAGGGTATTTATAGAGAGACCCCAGCGCTGGGCCAACGGTCATTCGAGGTGGGCCGGACGACCAGGCCCATCCCTAATGACTGCTAGGGCTTACGTGGCGTAGTGAAGACCAGGACGTGGTCTTCGCCCTAGTTCAACCGCTCCTAGGTCTCCGGAAAGTGGGTTTGACCCGCTCTTTCGGAAGTGGGCGGTTGGCCGATGACGTGTCCCCGCGGAGGGGAGCACGTGGAGAACGTGCGCCGAGCACGTTATTCTCCCGCGGAGGGAGCCCGGGGTGGTCTTGCTCGTCCGGCGTGATGGACGCCAAAAAGGGGCGTGGAGCGGTAGCTTGAGCCCGTCCGTCCAGCCCTGCTCGTCCGAAGGCGCGTGCCGGGGGTGCCCAGTTCGCTTGCTGGGCCGCCTTTGGCATTGGGCCTGCCGAGGTGAGGCCCATACCGGAACAATTACCACATGTCACTTTAACGGTGTTGTTTCGACAAACACTCCTGTTGGATTCTCGTTCAGCAATACGGATACATACGCCTTCAAAATTCATGTCAATTCAGATTTTTTTCATTTTAAGGATAGAATGGAAAAAAAATTGGCACAAGGCGTTGAGGAAATCATTTATCGCCATCCCACCCTTAATGAAGACGACTGTACGATTTTTTACATTATGACGCCAATCAAAAACGACGACGATGTCAAGGCCATGTTTCGGTGCCACATGATGTTTGGTCAGTTACCTACAATTGAGGTGTATGTCAAACTACAACACAATCCCAAAACATTGCAAACTCAGGAGACCCAGTCACACTGGTACGGGATGAGCCAAACATCCGACGACGAACCAACGCAAAACAATTTACCTTTCATACCAGATGAGGAGGTTGAAGAATCAAGTGATGACGATATTTATGAGGAGATCAGGATGCAAGATATTTTTGGTGACAGCGGTGACGAAGACAATGAAGACGAAGATATAGTTGTCCCGTCTACGCAACCGATCCGCGCACAACCCGTAAGTTTGTATAACCCACCGACACACATGCAAAATATTGATATTGAAGATGACGACACAACCTCCGTGTTTGGAAGTGCTATTCAAAACCATATAGGTGATGAAATAGAGATCGGTATGGAGTTTGAAAACAAGGAAGCCTGCGTTCTCGCTCTGCAGCATTGGCACATAACACACTGTGTGGATTATTAGGTGTATCAGTCCGACAATGAACGATATGTCATTCAGTGTAAGAAACAAGACTGCAGGTTCAAGTGCAGAACTTCATTTAGACGAAGGAACTCAAAATGGGTGATCGGTAAGCTGTCTGGGTCTCACACATGCACTACGACGTCGATGGCACAAGACCATAGGAAGCTCAGTTCAGAAATGGTTTGCCATAGCATCAGAGAACTTGTCAACAGCGACGCCTCACTTAAGGTAAAAGTGATCGTTGCCCATATTCTAGAAAAATACGGGTACATCATATCTTACCGGAAGGCGTGGATCGCTAAGTGCAAGGCGGTAGAGTCGCTTTATGGCAATTGGGAAACATCGTACAACGACCTACCGCAGTGGATACCGGTAATGAAAACCTTTCTTCCAGGAACCATTATAGATTTGCAAACCCTACCGGCAACATCAAGTGATGGTTCCCAAAACTCCGGAAAACGAATATTCCATCGTCTGTTTTGGGCATTTCGTCCGTGTATACGTGGTTTCGCCTACTGTAAGCCCATTGTGCAAGTAGACGGGACATGGTTGTACGGCAAGTACAGAGGAACGAATAGATAATTATATTGTACTACTTTCGTATTTGATCCATCAATAATTATTAATTCAAAAGAACTTTCAAAATACAACAAAAGCAGCGAACTACAAACATAAAGTTGATCCTTTACTCCACAAACGCAAAAATAAAACTCATGAAGCTCACATAAACTCTAACATACAACAACGACCAACACAAGTGGATCTGTGACTCCTCTGTTGACTTCACCGCTATGTGCTGAAAACATGTAATGGACATCTTCATCGTTTTCTATACGATCTAGGTAGTACATGTACGTCCCCTCCGGGCTAGCATCAGTAAGCGTTATATATGGACAACGATACTCAATTTTTTCACCGTCACGCGGCGACCGCCCAGCTGCCGAAACCCGGTGTTAATTGTTGCAACCACAGTTCTGAAATTCCACAGCGGATCTAGGAAAACACTGATTTTTTTCTCAGGTCCATAGAAAACATGAGCTTCCACAGACATCTTTATAATTCGGATAACTTGACACGAATGATAGTAAATCGGATAAGCTTATTTATACAAGAAATTTATTCTGAGTTCGGTCATTCAGTGACCGAGAGTCTGTAAAAATAATTTACATATAAAATTAATTAAATAGTTTTTTTCTTAAATTAATTTAATAGTTTTTATAAAAAATTAATTAAATAATTCATATATTAAAATAATTATATTAATTGAATATAGTTTATATTAAATTAATTAAATAATTTTAATATAGAATTAATTTAATTTTTTTATTAAATAGTTTATTTATTACTTTAATTACATAGATTAAATATATTTTGTAGACAATATATTTTAAATAAATAGTTTTAATATGGAATAATTTTTTATGTTTTATGTTAAATATATTTTTAATTATTTTAAATAAAAATATTAAATATATTTTTTATTACTTAAATTAAAAAGATTAAATATATTTATTTGAAAATTTAAAAAAATTAAAAAAAAAAAAAAAAAACCCTGCCCTTTCAATGGGCGAACTCACTCATGCTGAAATTTTCTGCCAGTTCGCCACTTCATTGAACGAACGTTTTCAATGCTTTTCCCTAATTCGTCCTTCTGTTGGGCGAACTCTTCCAAAAGTAGGGTATTCACGTAAATATATTTCAAACTGGGGTGTTATGGTATTTAGGGTTTCAAACTAGGGTATATAGGTCAAAAAAATCTTAAACTTGAACGTCGATTCTTACAACAATTCTTAAAATGGATCAATAGATAGTTGCATTGGCAATTCGAAGTGGAAATGGTTTAGTGCTCAAGCGAGGAAAAGAAGCCAAACAACCTAACGTAGCCTTACACAAGGTTTGTTGATTTTATTTTTCTATTTAATATGTATGAATTCGTTTCCTTGTTTGTGTATGTGTCATTGCTTCATAGGATAATATCATAGTATATACTAATCATTTGCAAGTAATGCACTCATAAAATATGAGTACTATTTGAGATACCTACTATTTATTTTGATGTACTTCACGAGAACCGCGCAGTCACTCACCCCTCTAGCAAACCTACCCTAACATTGCAGCTAGAGTGTCCAAAATAAGTAGTACCTTTAAGGATAATCTAATTTTCTATTTTGGAAGAAGATGAATTCTGATTTACCGGACCCATATAGTGTTACAATTTTAATGTATTTTTTTGCTTTCAATGTTATACTCTATTTTATTCATGGTAATCACGAACACAAATATGAAGCCAGTCTCAGGTGCATAGTTCATGAAATCTCCTCTGTTTGGTAAGGTGATTGATCAATTATTCTTGTCTAACACCTAGTTGGTAAGACACTCCGGACGAATACCATTAACAATTAGAATAAATTAAATGGCTCTAAGAATATTATAGGTTTATTCTCAAAACTCTCCTAACAAATTAACAATACAAACATTGTCAATTTCATCAATTTCGCTATGAGAGCATGATATGAAAACTCAAAGCATATATGTGTATTCTATATTTTTATAGTGATTAGTTTAAATATAATAATTGTTTATGTTTTTTTATAGGTTTCTAAAGCAGGAAGTGAACCTTCATTAACTTATAATATAAGAAGATTAGATGCAAACAATACACATGAAGAAATTCACCAGTCCTTCAAATGGCATGTAATTTTTTATGGCAGTTTTATGTTCTAAAACTTGTTTATTTGGAGAATAGCTCAAGATAATGTATACAAAAATTATTAGTCATTTTTATGTTTTAATATTTTGTGAATAACTTGTGGTATTTATATCAAACATTTAGACTTATTATGTCACATAATATATATTTAATTTTTGGGCTCTTAATATATGCTTTCTTTATTTCTTTTACAAGAATGCATAAATGTAAATTCATCATACATATAATTTTAGTGTTGGTGTTAAATTCTAACAAAAAATATTTATTTAAGCAAATTTCAACAGAATTTTTTTAAAATTAAATGGAAAATTAAGGCGGTTTAAACAATGCTACTATCATAACTAAATTAGGACAGTTTAAAATGACGTAATTTCTAGTATATTTGTTTATTATGTGATATAACATTTGAAACCGCTACTATTTTCAAACAAAAACGGCCACTTTAAACAGTGTATAAAATGACTGTTTACACGATGTTTAATTTTAAACCGTCATTATTTCCCTAGTGGCAGCCATTTTTACTTGTTAATTGTGGCGGTTCAAACCGCCACAGTTTTCTTATATTAATCGCCATAATTAACACGCCTTTTTGTAGTTGTTGTTTTGGATAATTTATGGCTAGAAGGGGGGTTGATTAACAGTTGTTATTATGTTGTTTGATTTCTTTTTGGCCCGAGTACTACTAGATGGGGAGTAGTAGTTTTTTTAGATCTGAGTTTTAAGGGGAGCATGACTGCTGACTGCATGTTTTTCTTTATTTGATGGATGTTCCTATGTGTTTGCTTAATGTGCTTGATGCTTGATGGCATATATGATGTCATGACATCTTGTCTTTGAGATTTTATTTGTGTTTATTTATCTCTATTGGTGTGGTCTATAAGGATGGAGTGTATTTTTGTTGCGTATGCATCTGATGTGTTTTAGTGGTGTTTCTTATGCCTTGTGCATTGTTTTTGAAGATGTTTTGTAATAGCTGTATGTATTTTTACTTTCTTTCAAGATGAGTGTTGCAAAGATTGTTTTATCCAAAGGGGGAGATTGTTAGGTTATTTGTTTTATGATTGACTGCATTTTGTTAAATCAAGTATTCTAGCGAGATGTTGTACAAGATGTCGTGACATGTTGGTACTTACTGAAGCTTATCTTGTTTCGCGTTTTAGAATATCTCTTATATTCATTGAAGATTCTATGAAGAATTGTCTCACGTTTTCCTTGGTCCAAGAAGCGAGTAGCAAAAGTCGGTTTATGTTTTTCCTTGCTTCGAAAGAAAGGATGTTAGAACACTTAAGAAAGATTAGATATGATTTGATTCTACAGCATATCTTACAGTCGTCAGATATGATTTGTATTTAAGGAAATATTATATCCCCATGCAAATTATTATGGATATGCAATTAAGGAAATAATATGTTCTGTTTAAAATTACTTATGGATCGTTGTGCCCAAGCTCATTCGATTCTCGTGCTATTTAAAGAAAGGTTCTAAACCTATGCAACAAAGAGAGTCACATATTGTGAGAGTATCGGTTAGGGTTTGTTTATTCATTGTTGGTTATGAGCCACTCTTGTATCACCTTGATACTAGAGCTGGACTATTTTAGTTGAGTTGTAATTGTGAATCACTCATAAGCTTTTAAGCAAGAGTTAATTATGTTTATTAGAGTGTGTCTCCTCTTTGTCTGTTTTCATTATCATCATGGGTGTGTAATTGATGGAAAGTGAGAGGGGTCTCATATCTAGGAGAGTCTTATATAAAAATTCCACGGATAGTGATTAAGTGTGAAGTTTGTAAAACCAGAGGTTGTTTAGAACTTCAAACTAATACTATTATAGTGGTTTTTCTTCCTATCTTGGGTGCCCCCAGATGTAGGTGAAGTTGCATCGAACTAGGTTAAAAACTACCCTGTGTTATTTATTTCCTGCATCTTACTTTAAGTTGCTTATTACTAGCTCTGCTGTCACAACGTCTTGATATTGAATTCGATATTCTGGTGTCCTAACATCGTATACAACATATGTCCGCTACGTGCCAAAATTTCAGCTTTCTTATGGAGCAATAATCACTAAACTCTTGCGTACCTTCAACATTGATACTATGGAAGAAGAAATTGATTCATCTAACCATATGATTGATTACTCGTCCCTCAGAAATAGGACGATTCGTATCAAACATGGACAATTAAAAGACGACTCAATAAGTGAAGAAAAGGATTTAGAAGAATCTGATGACACAAAAATCAACAAGGTCACAGAGATATGTCATAATATGGCAAAAAAATTGATAGATATTAATAAGATCAAATCAAATAATGATGATACTTATGAAACCGAGTAGTCTAACTTATGTGTCTTAGTTTCTAAGTGTGTTTACTTTCCTACTTTTTGCATTATTTTCAAATTTCTAAAATTTCTCGCTTTATGCACTTTAAGTCCAGTATAATTTGAATTAATAAAGTGTGTTGTTCTAAATTCCTATGTGCTTATATGTTTGCATATTTAAATTCTAACAAAGTATTCTTTACCCTTCTTTTTGATTTTGACAAAGGGGGGATAAATATGCTCTCAAGGGGGAGTGGAGTATACTCTGTAATTAATTGAGGGGAGAGTTTAACCACTTCAAATATATACCTTTTTGTTTCCTTTACCACATTCGTTAGAGATGTGTTGTCATCATCAAAACGGAGGAAAATGTGGAACCATGTTTTGTAGGATAATGATCAAAGTCAAAAGGTTCTCCTTTAAGGATATGCTTTTGATGATGACAACATGAAAGATAAATTTAATGACAAATTAAATGATTAAAACCTTTACAATATATGAGGATTCAAGTATGACAAGCAGTTAGAGATGCAAGCAGACGAATTAGGGTTTGG